AATAAGAAGACACCAAGAGCTCATAATTGACAATGCTGGTAAAGTCTCATCATCATCATCAATGAAGAACCAATGTTGATATCCTATCTGGCGCTCGGCGCCCAGACTACAGATGGCAGATCCTATCTAGCCCAGACTACAATGCTGAAGATGACGTCAACAGCTTCCCCGAAGTACGAGCATACAGCGACCAATGTCGCACGCTTCCAGCACCAGGTATGTCTCTCGCCTCACTCACAACCTCGCTCCCCAACACACAGATGCCACTTGCACCCAAGGACCACCCTGCGCCACACCCAGCTTACAGCAGTGCAGCTCGGCTATGGCTGCCTGCTCCTTCGTGCTCGCCCGTGAGCGTGTGAGTGCCAGCGAGCTTCAGCGCGGCAGCGCTTGCGCAGCATGCAGCCAGCACCCGAATGCCAAATGCGGAGGCAGGCCCTTTGCTATATGGAAGTGGCCTGCCTGCTTGCTGTCGCAGGCTGCGCTGGGCCTTTCCCAAGAAGCTTCCGGTAGGCCCCGGTAGGCTGAGGCCCAGTCCACACAACTCAGGCCCTGGGCCTGTAGTGGTTGCTCGCGCCCAACTGTCAACGGCCTGTGTTAGGCCCGCATCCCGTATCCAGCCCAGGGCCTGCCTTCGATACATTCAAACAGGCTGCCCAGGGCGTGGGTTCTTCCAACCAACTGGCGCTGCGCAACTGCCTGAATTTCCTTGAGTTGCATGGTGACCAAAATAGGGGCCCTCAGGCCCTCGTCGCGCCTGCCTTCACTTAGGGCGGCCAACGTGATACTTGGCAGGGCCTGAAAGGGGCTCATAGGGGCATACGCCTCGCATTCCCTCCTCCATAACTTCGCTAGTCCTCTGAGAAGTTCAGTCTTCGAGGATCTGGCGCTTTCCCTTCTGCAGAGATTTCTCATATTGAGCTACGATCTAAGGAGCGGTCTGCATGAGTTCCTCCCTAGTGAACCAGCGGTCCTCCTTTGGATCCAGATGTCGGAACCGAACTTGGTACTGCAGCTTTGGTTTCGGAGGATGTCCCCTGCCTGTGGGTCTTGGAATGGGCAGCTCCCTGTGATCCACGATGTCGTCTATGTCCACCTGTCCATCCATGGTTGGGGGCAGCATTGAGCGTCGAGAAGGAAACTGATCTGTTTCCTTGAAAGGTGCAAGCTTGGAGGCGTGAAAGACAGGGTAAGTGCGTAAGTGACCAGGGATGCGAATAACATAAGATGGGCCATCGGGTTTTCCATGACATCCAATACCTCCCACGGTCCAATCTACTTTGGCATGAGTTTACGGGATATCTCGTACTCTTGTCCCAGTTCGGAGGACTTCACCCAGACTCTTTCCCCTACCTGGAATGTAGATGGGCGGCGGTGCTTGTTCTCAGACTCTATCATCGCCGCCTGTGCTTTGTGCATCTGCTCAACAGCCTGCTGCATCAAGTGATCATATTTATACGCAAACTCTAGAGTTCCTGGTGCAGCAGTCGGCTGATTGTCAGGTAGTAGAAAGTCTAAAGGCAGTCGGGGTCTGAAGGTCAGTAGCAAGCTGTTAGGACTGACTCCGGTTGCGCTGTGCACAACATTATTGTACAAACTGGCGATGAGAGCAAGTTTCTCATCCCAATCTACCTGATTTGGCTTGATGTAATGTCTTAGCGCGGTTCATTTGTTCAGCCTGCCCGTTTGCCTCGAGATGATTGCCTGATGTCATCTGCAGTTGCGCGCCTTGCTCTGCAGCTGCTGCTTTCCACAATTCGCTGGTAAATCGCATGTCCCGGTCGCTAACGATAGACTTTGGCAATCCAAAATCTCTAACCCAATAATCTTTAAACATTTTAATCACATACTCCGTCTTAGCTGTTGCCGACATTGCAACTAACCTAGCAAACTTACTAAACCTATCCACAATGACGTAGATGTAGCACATTCCACTCTTGCTGGTGACCAGCGTATCCATGAAGTCCATGGACAGGCCCTCACTAGGCCTTTCCGGAATCGGAAGGGGCTTCAGGAGCCCAAGAGGAGCCACGTGGCTTGGCCCTCCGACAGACTTGACAAGTCTCCACTTACAACTTAGCATCTCTCATCAATGTGGGCTGCCAGAACCGCTGCAGCAGATTATTCCTGCCTAAAAATGTCCTGTGGCATCATGACATTCGCCTAAAAATAAACTACGCAAAGACTCCCTATTAGGCACACACAAACGTTTATTCCCTGCCTTCTCAAGGAACAGCAGGCCGTTGACCAACTCAAACTCGGCAGAAGTCTCTTTGTCCTTCGCCTCGAGTCTGCGTATGATCTCGGCCATAAATGGGTCCTCACGATAGGCTTCCACCAAGGACTGAGTAACATCGTCCGCAAGATTGAACTCTGTAATCAGCGCACCTAAGAAATCAGGTCTACGCGACAAGGCATCAACAACCTTGTTATACTCGCCCTTGATGTACTGGGGCTCGAAGTCGTACTGCTCTATGACTTCAATCCAACGCTTCAGAGCGTTAGAGAGCACCGGCTGAGTTCTCATCCATCTCAGTGTCTGATGTTCAGTCCTGAGGATGAAGAACCTCCCAAGGAGATAGTGCCTCGAATGGGTCAGAGCCTTGTAAACCGCATAGAGTTCCTTCTCATAGGTGGACTTAGTCAACTTTTGAGACGACATTTTCTTGGACGAGAAAAGGTTAACCGACCCCCCATTTTTCACCTCAATTTATAAGAAAACCATAAGGCCCTTCTTACTAATACATTATAAAAAAAATACCAAAAAAAAAAATTAAAAACATATAAAACAGCAACTCAAAAGTGCATTTTCAGGTAATTTTGCCAAAAAACAACTTCATCAAAATTTCAGGATTTTCAGAATGATTAACAACACAAATTCTAATAACCCAAATGGCATCAAATTTGACACACAGCAAGCTTGTCCCAAAAGAAAAACAGGCAAAAAAAAATTTCCAAAAAAACACAAAATTTGACCCCGAAACCCTAATTTCAGGATCATTCATCGTTACCCGGGGCCGAAAAGTGGGGGTCCCTGCTAACCACTTGTGGAGAAAAGGTTAACCGACCTGGGTCCCCGTTAACCACTTGTGGGGTGGCAACTATGCTATAGTTCTTCACGAAGTTGCGATAGCAGCCGGTCAGCCCTAAGACCTCATCTTAGTCACAGATTGAGGACGCGGCCAGTCACGAATGTTGGCCACATTCGCGTCATCGGGCTTCAACCCTTCCGCGGAAATCTCAAGACCCAAGTACAAGACACGGGTGCGGTCAAACTCGCACTTCTCACCGTTGATCTTGAACTTGTGCTGTCGCAGAAGACTCAGGACTTTGTCCAAATGCGCAACGTGCTCCTCGACAGTTTTACTAAAAATAAGTATGTCGTCGAGGTACACGATGACAAACTTATCCAAGTAGTCATGAAAAATCCGATTCCTAGCATGCTGAAAGATGCCAGGAGCATTGCAAAGACCGAAAGGCATCACCACAAACTCGTACAGACCGTACCTGGTCTGAAATGCGGTTTTCTGTTGATCCTCGGGCCGGATTGCAATCTGATGGTACCCTGATTTCAGATCTATCTTACTGAAGTACCGACACCCTTGCACTCTATCTAGCAAATCGTCGATGCGAGGTAGGGGCTCTCTGTTCTTTACAGTGATGGCATTGAGGCCCCTATAGTCAATGCACATCCTAAGTGTTCCCTCCTTCTTCTTAGGTACGAATAGTACTGGAGACTCGTAAGGAGAAACACTCGGTCGGATCCAACCTTCTATGAGTTCCTTGAGTTGTCGGCGAAGCTCATTGAGCTCGCCTGGAGACATCCGATAGATCCTACCCTTCGGGATACTGGACCCTGGGATAATCTCTATCGCGTGGACGACCTCCCTGTCAACAACCCCTGTCGGCTCTTCAAATAGATCAGGGTACTTAGCAATTACTCCCTCTATCTCCGGCGGCATTTTCACCGGCTCGCCTGCAACAGAGACATAAACTAGGTGCATACCTTCCTCCTGATTTTGCTTATAATAATTGTAGAACGCGGCCGCACACATGCATCCGTGGGACTCGATCAGACTACTAGCTTTGAACTTGCGCAATCTGGCGGTCCCTCCACCTGGCAAAGTGTGTTTGACCACTTTTCGGTCCCAGTCAAACTGGGGCTGCGCCACAGAGAGGTAGTGCATACCTAACAACATATCCATGGGGAGTTCGTCACTCACTAGGAACGAGACGCGATGTCTCAATTCCCCTCCCGCGTACGGGAAACAACACTCAACATCTTGGAGGTAGTCGTTGACTATCATGCGCTGTTTGTTGGCACAGGTCGACTCAGGCGCTGCACTTGCCCCTGTAAGCGCACCCTCCGAACGCACGCGCGACTAATGAAGTTCCTAGTCGAGCAAGTGTCACAATAGGCCCCGGCCTTGCGGCCGCCAATGACCACCTCGCCGACGAACATCTCACCCTTTGGGGCTTTGACCAATGCCGTCCATAAAGCTAATGGGTCTGATCTAGACCACTCCTCTAGCTCCTCTAAGGACTCAAACACATTCATCGAACAAAGGATCGATGGGTCTGAATGTGTTTGCGGGACGACGCTGGAGGCAGTAGCTTGGACCATCTCTCGAGATGGTGAGGGTGTGTCCACCACCTCGACCCTAGCAGGAACAGCTACTATTCCTACTGGTCCGACGTGTTTCCCGGAGCAGTGCCAGAAGTACTAGCTACATTGCTACCAACGGGATGGGAGGATCGCAACGCCTGCCCCATCGTAGGCGGGATCTTCTCGGTCACCTTCTTATTACGACACTTGAATTGGTTATGGCCGTATTGACCACAAAGAATGCAAGTCAGCCATGTGTACCGATCTCTCCACACGTCCTCTGTGAGACCCGCCTTTTCCCATGGGGGAGCGTTGGGGTCAACTTAACTCCTTGAGCGGGAGAGAACTTAGGAAGGCCCAACATAGAATGATAGAGCAAGCCAACAAGCACCGTCGCCCATCGCAATTCCAAGTAGGCGACTTAGTCTGGGTCAAGTCCAAAGAGTTTGCTCGAGGAAAACATCCCGCAGAAGTTATTAACAGCGTACAAGGGACCATGACCAGTTCTAGAAGTCGAAGGCGAAGAGGATGGGCCACCCTACACAGTAGAGATCCCAACACACCTCCACCTACCCGATGTTCCATGCATCAAAGTTGTTGCCGTGTGTCACAAGTCAACAGTTTCCATCTAGAAGGTCCATGATTCCTCCGGATATGGACGAAAGTTACGACATTGACGACATTGTAGGTGAAGACGTGTTCAGAACAGGAGGAGAGGTCGTCCACAAAAGCAATATAAGGTCTGGTTTGCTTATCAGGAACAGGACGATCGCTAGTTTACCAAAATACAACTGCTAGAAACAGCTCCCGACATAGTTAGGGCCTACGAGAGAGATCAGAAAGGCAAAGGTCCTGCCTTAAACTGAGTTATTCTCAGAGGACCTCGAATTTAGGTCGGCGGGAGTGAAACAGTATTCACCTGTTCGCAGTAGCCTTACTTGTGTACAGTATCGGTGTCAACCCCGAGAGTTGAACCCGTGACCTATGTATTTGTAACAGTTGTTAGACTGTCGTAGGGTCCATAGGTAGTAGGGGTTCGATCTGTAGACATGTCGGGTAGGAGTCTTAGCAAGGTCTAGAAGTCGTAGTTGTAGCTCCTCCGAAAGGTCAAGGTCGTAGTTCCTACAGTCCTGAAGGGTCAAGGTCGTAGCTGCTACAGTATCGAAAGGCCAAGTCCACGGCCTTCCGGAAGGTCCTAGTAGTGGCCTTTCGAAGTTGCTCACATATAGGTTGATGCAAGTGGGCAAGTGATGGAGTCCACCCATGCTGAGTCAGCAGTCCCAGTCCCAGTCCCAGTCAAGCAAGTACTGCAAGGGACTGTGTGCACCACGGGCATGGGAAAAGGCCAGACCAACGAGATTCAGAAATATAAATCAAGAGGTGGCGCCCAGCTATTCATTCATTCCTGTGTAAGCCATGCAGAAGCGTTGTCATAGCGACTTGTGCGAGGTGGTCTGCAGTGAGCCCGAAGACGAAGTGGACGAGAGGAGCTTATGCGAGGCTTATGCCCCTATGAGCCCCTTACAGGCCTTGCCAAGTATCACGTCGGCCGCCCTAAGTGAAGGCAGGCACGACGAGGGCCTGAGGGCCACTATTTCGGCCACCACGCAACTCAACAAAATTCAGGCAGTTGCGCAGCGCCAGTTGGTTGGAAGAACCCATGCCCTGGGCAGCCTGTTTGAATGTATCGAAGGCAGGCCCTGGGCTGGGTACGGGATGTGGGCCTAACACAGGCCGTTGATAGTTGGGCACGAGCAACCACTACAGGCCCAGGGCCTGAGTTGTGTGGACTGGGCCTCCGCCTACCGGGCCCTACCGGAAGCTTCTTGGGAAAGGCCCAGCGCAACATGGGACAGCAAGCAGGCAGCCCACTTCCATATAGCAAAGGGCCTGCCTCCGCATTTGGCATTCGGGTGCTGGCTGCATGCTGTGCAAGCGCTGCTGCGCTGAAGCTCGCTGGCACTCATACGCTTACGGGCGAGCAGCAAGGAGCAGGCAGCCATAGTTGAGCTGCACTGCTGTAAGCTTGGTGTGGCGCAGGGTGGTCCTTGGGTGCAAGTGGCATCTGTGTGCTGGGGAACGAGGTTGTGAGTGAGGTGAGAGACATACCTGGTGCTGGAAGCGTGCGACATTTTGGTCGCTGAATGCTCGTACTTCGGGAAAGCTGTTGACGTCATCTTCGGCATTGTTGTCTAGGCTAGATAGAATCTGCCATCTATAGTCCGGGCGCCGAGTGCCAGATAGGACATCAACATTGGTTCTTCATTGATGACGATGATAAAACTTTACCAGCATTGTCAATTATGAGCTCTTGATGTCTTCTTATTTGGTGAAACTCGTGATGCAATTCTGCGGTTGGTTCGAGGTCACGACTATCTGGTCTTGTGCATATGATGTTGTTTGATTGCTGAAGTTCGCTATTGCTCATCTTCCTTGCGATATTCAATTCGAGTTTTCGACCTAGTGTGGTACGATTGCGCTCATCTGGCGCTTGTCTTCTGCCTAATGCGGTACATACATGCGGTTTGCTTGGTGAGTTGGGCCGTAAGTGGTGTGTAGTGAGGAGGGCGGAGACGAGTGTAGTGGCGACCCAGGAGGTGAGGGGATCGCCAGGAAGGCTACATGGGGGTAATGTGGTCTGGACAGTGTGATGAGAACTATCTAATGTGCGATTGATGCTGAGGTGGAACAGTGAGATAATGCTGGTTGTGCCGATGCAGTGACGGGTCATCGCAATCGCCATTAGGTCATCTGGTGAGATTATCTCTATGGTTGTGGGCAGCTATTTGAGGTACGTTGCTCTTAACCTTATCTACCCTCTTCGACACTTCTTACCGTGAGGTTGTGTGTTCCTTCTTGAGAGTCCTCTCATTGTGAGGTGTCGAGGGCGCTCAACCTTGAGAGTCGGCAATGTTCACGTGGAGCATCTGGGAGAAGATGGGCGGAGCTTTCTGAAGGGCCCTGGACGAAGCACTGGGTCACAGTCACCATGCCAACCCACCGGGAGTAGAGCACGCATGCTTTGCTGCTTGTCCTTTGTTCGGCTCGCTGCGCTGTTAGATGGGTACTGAAGGGCAGGCCAGCCCTAGACCGGGCGTCTTTAAATAAGCACCGGAAGGGGAAATCATTGGTTGTGATCGTCGTCCTGCTGCGACGTAAAATAATTCCTGATGACACTTGGGGGCGGTCGTTAAATTGCCTCTGGATCAGCCAATGGTTGTAAGGCTCGTGCACACGAGGATAAACACAGTGCAGGGCTGGCCGGCTCAGCAGCTACTCGGGGCACAGGGGTGGGCAGTGCACACCTTTAGTCACGTAAAACAATTCCTAATGACACTTGGGGGCGGTCG